TATTAGGCAGTGTCACTGACTACTGATTTAGTTCAGTGGTTAAAAGCAGGACTTTGCATCGCATTGCGTTAGTTTCCCCAGGTTACAAAAACTGACTTCTTTCTGATAGTAACAAATGGAGATTAAGATAATAGTTAACTATGTTGCAGAAAATATGCAAACTAAATTTTGAGTATATTTAGTGTGGGGGCCGCCTCCCGATCCCATCCATGTCGCCATGTGCGAGCCGGGAGCGATATGCGGACCCGTCTTTGCGCACGCGGGCTGTGGCCAGCAGCCCGGGCACGCAGGGTCAGAGGAGACCATGCGGCGGCAAGGCACGCACAGGCTAGAATTAGTCACAGAGGCGTAGTGGAGGTGGACTAGAGTTCCTTCCCGTGAACATTCTTCTAGCCCGTCCGGTTGGAGGCTCTAAACCACGAGCCCATCGCGCCAACCGAAGAAAGTACTCGTACAAAAGAGCTCTGAATAAACTCACACTAAGTTTGCTAGGCTCCGTGGATCCTTTTGCACGCAGGGCACAGGGAGAGGGATACGTCGAGGATTGTGCTCGGTGACGGGGAGAGGCTAGAGGCTGGTCAGACCCCTGTTGCCTGCTTGAAATGCGCTGGGTTCGATAGGCTCCGCAGCGCTTAGAGATCTTCACACAGCGTGAAGTCTCCTCCTCCTGGTGTTCGTGGAGTCCTCCAACTTGGGCGGAAACCACTCAAGCCTCTTATACGGCTAGCAAGCCAATCGCTAGCCGCCACGTGTGCATAATTTAACACAAGCCAATAATGGGGCTCGAATTAAAATACAAATGGTGGGAACTCTTTGCACCGAGCATTTCTTAGATGCAAAAGAAATGCACCATGCAAAGAAAGCTACAAATTGGCGGGAAATTCTCCCTTGCACCGGGGTTTTCCTCTGCAGCAGAAAACTCCACCGTGCAAAGAAGCTGCAATTTAGCGGGAAAAATAATTCAGTAGTGCCAAAGCACACACAAAAACAAAAATCACAACTTTGGGTTGTGACATTTAGTAGAGGCACTTAGATGTTGGTTCAGCACAACAATAAAGTGCGTGCTAAGCTTGAGTTTTTGTGCCTAGTTGTTAATGCTCGAGCACCTGAAATTTAGTCTTAACTGGCATTACATGGGACTTCTGGAAAATGAGTGTTTTTTGAGAGGACTGTAGGGAGTTGCTGACAGGGTTATTTTTAAATGATTGTTGATATTTGACCGCTGTGCCTTTAACCATGTGACCATCTAAGTCTAAGTTCAATAATAGGTAAGTAAGCAAACAAACACACTTGTACTGGATTCTTGTTAGCTAAGGAACAGTTTGTAGCACATAAGCACGACATAGTGTCCCTAAATTGGCCTGTGGAGAATTTCCACTTTGACACAGAAGTATCTGCTGGTGTAAAGAGGAGGAAGCGCTTTTGCTGATTTCTGTACCAGCTGCAACCCCAGTTCTGACTTAAGAGGAGGGAGGGAGAATTCTGAAAGGGGAGGCTGTGGCAGAGAGGAGCTTCTTCATTCCTTGAGACACTGAAGGTCCAGTTACTGACCTCCTTTGCCCTCTCTGATCTGTTGTCTAAATCCATGCTACATTTATACAGATAAATTTACAGGGTTGGATGGCTGAGTACCTGAGCGGCTAGCTCCCTACCACCTTGCTTCTCCTGCACCAAGGCAGAGAGCAAGGAGGAGAACTGAGGATCCCTAAAATTTACTTTCTCTTACATAGGATTAACCCTTATAGGGAATGATCTGGCCATCAGTTAAAAAAAAAAATCTAGGTGTGGGATATTGTGTGCCTGTTATCTCTCACATTTTTTGAAAATCCAGGCCTTAGGTTAATAAGAGGTTCAGAAATAAAGCCATAATTATTAATCATTTTGTTAGTTCCCAATACTGATTTTTCTCCAGCATTTTAGTTTTTAAATTATTATCAAGTGTAACTGAATGTGGGATTCTGTTACTAATGTGCCTACAATTCCATATCTTCAAGTCCTCCAAATAAAATGTTAATATTTTAAGCTTCCCCATTTTCTAAATGGGGAAACATTTGGGTGAGTCTACTCGTACCACTGCTAAAGAATACATCTTGCTTTGTCATGTTGTCTGAGCTGATCAGATGGAAAAGGGTTACTGGTTATGGAGGCAGCCTGGCACTTTTGAAAGCAGGGTTCAATTTCACGCTCCATCAGAAACCTCTATTCTTGCTGGTGAAGCTGGGACATTCTGCCAAGAACAAGAGAATTGTTTGGCCAGGAGAGCAAGCAGTAGGAACCTGACTGGTGGTTAAGTTACTTAGCTGGGAGGAGAAAACCCTGGGGTTCTGGTCCTTGCTTTCAGGACTGTTTGTACTTTATATTAGACAAAAAGAGGGATCCCTGCTGCCAGCTGAATGTCCTATCCACTAGGCCACAGAAGGGCTCCTCCGCCCAGTGTTTCCTCTAAGGTGCATGCGTGCACGCATTTGTGGCCGTGCACAAGTAAAAATCTTGCCGCACACAAACTTTTAAAGGCTACGCACCTGCCTGGAGAGGAGCTGGGCGCGGAGTGCGGTAGAGGCACCGGGGCTGGTATGGGACACTTACCAAAGGTAAGCTCCTCCTCATGCAGGGCAGGCAGCGCCTCCTCCCTGAGGCAAGGCAGGGACGGGGGCTGGGGGTTGGTGCGGGCTCTGCTGGTTCTGGAGAACTGCTCTGCTCCCCTGCATCACCCCGGGGTGTGAGGAGGCACATGGCGTCAGGGCTGGGGAGTGGAGCAGTTCCCTGGAGCCAGCGGAGCAGTTCCCTGGAGCCGGCAGAGCCTCATGCGGGGCAGGCAGTGGCTCCTCTCCGAGGTGAGGCAAGGCAGGGACGGGGGCTGGGGCTGGCGCGGGCTCTGCTGGCTCCGGGGAACTGCTCCGTGGGCTCCGCTGGCTCCGGGGAACTGCCTAGCTCCCCAGCCCTGACGCCATGTGCCTCCTCACTCCCCAAGGCGATGTGGGGGAGTGGAGCAGTTCTGAGGGACTCCTGCTGTTCCCCAGGAAAATAACCAAAATAAGATATCTGCAGTTTATATGGATGGTCAGCCATCTTTCTAGATGTGGCACAGACTTCTGGAGTCTGTAGACCAGTGACCCTCAACCAGGCTGCTCCAGCACCCTGGGGTTTCTTGAGATCCTTTCAAGGGTGCTGTGAGGTACCACACAATGTTAATGCTGTTGGGTGTGCAAATATGATTCACAAAATAAACCTAGAGATTTCACATAGGAAGTCATAGTGTTAAAAACATTTTGGCTGCTTACAGATGTCAAACACCCCCCCAGCCCCCCCATGGCACTTAAATCTTGGTGTGTCCCTGCACCAAGCACAGTGCATGCCCGGAAGAAACACTGCATTGTATCTATTGATTGTGTCCAGCCCATGACTGCCCCACAGCACTCCACTGTGCTGCTCTGGGCAGCATTTAGCACGGAGAAGGGTGGTGGCCGAACCCTGCCCGCTCCCACCTGGACACTTTCTTTGGGACACTTACTGGCGGACTGCGCCGTGTCGAAAGGGGGAGGTAGGACCGAAGTGGTGTGCTTACGGACCACTATTCCTTAGAAGGAACATTGCCTCTGCCTCCTGTGTTTTTAGTGAGTGGCTGTGGCTCACGTGCTCTGAGTAGACATTATGGATTGGAGGCAGTATTTAGGCATTGCTCCTCCTTGTAGTTGTACCTCTGTAGAGCTAGATGCCTAGCTGGTTAGACTGGGATGCTTCTCTTCATGTGTCAGAGCCCATCTTTAGGCACGTAAGTCCAATGTGTAAATGCCAAATTAATTCAGGTGTCTTTAGGGGCAGGCAGTAAGCAGGATTTCCTGGATTAATTTTATGGATTTAGGGCCAGGTTGTATTCCCTCTCTTAGGCATGTAAATGGATTTAGATGCCACAGTATTCTAATATTCCATATTTCTTGAGTTACTGAAAAGGTATTAATGCAAAAGGTGCGAGAGACCTTCTTACTGCTTGCTTGTGACTTATTCTCAAGGGTAAGATGATGGTGTGTTACAAAAGTAGGTGGATTTTCAGTGACTTGAATAGGGTGGAAGAGAATTGGACTTAGAGATACCCAAAGAATGTCTGTCCCTTAGACACCTAAAATTCATCTAAGTACTGCTTTAAGTACCCAAATAGCTTCTCTGCATCTCACCCTTCATCTTTTTGCTCAGCAGTACTCCATTTGTGACATGGGGCTAGCAATACTTTTCATGTTCTCAAGACAAATACATTAAAGGTGGTAAATTGCTCAGATTGTATTGGAAAAATGTCTATGCAAGGTACATTATTGTCTGGGTCTGTGGAATGTTTCTTCTGTATGACTGTAAGGACTGAGAAAAGGGCATTTTGCTAAGAACAGCAGAAAACTTTGTAATCAACCCTGCTGCTGTGGGATAATGAACAGATATTGTTTGCAACCCTTAAATCTAACTCTCTGATAGAACAAAAGTTGGAGATCAACTTTCATTACTCTCCTATTTATCCTGTTTTTTAACCAGTTAAGGGAACTGGCCACAGTGTTAACATTCCTAATAGCTTGCATCTGACTGACTCTAGTTTTTTTTTTTTTTTGGCAGTACCAAAAGGATTGGGGTCCAGACGTTTGAAACCAAAAACCTAGAATGTTTATTTTCAGGGTTGCAGAAGTAACATGCTTTCAAATAATACAAACACAAGACCATGCCAAGGTAAAGAGTAGGGTGAAAAGGCATGCAATTTGGCATATTGCTTGTGGACTACAGCTTGGTGTTGGGGTTGTAGGGAAGTTACATAATCACTCAGGAAATTAGGAGCTGCAGAAGGATTTATAGTTGACTCAGCTATTTTTTCACAGTTATGGTATCATTACTCTCTATCTTTTCCATCTAATCTAAGTTATGCCTGAACACAGTGGTAACACGATATTGTATAGAAAAGCATCTAATACAGAAGGGAAGTGTCTGTCAACACTATTGATAGGTATTTTATCAATTTTCTGCAGACTGCCTTTTCAAGGTGTGTCCTATGAACCGGTATTCAGCACAAAAGCAGTACTGGAAAGCCAAACAGGCGAAGCAAGGAAACCACACAGAAGCAGCATTACTTAAGAAACTACAAGTAAGAGACCCCTGTATTTGTAGTCTTATCTTAATCTGCAGGCTCTAGACTAACAATATCATGCAACAACAATAGCAAATACCTTGGGAATGACCAGGATGATTGGTCCATATGAGGACTTTCTTTATGTTCTCCTTTCCCTGCCCGCTTGCCTCCTCAACTGGCTTTTATTTCCTTTCTTTGTCCTGCCTCAGAGGGTAAACTGCTTGGATTGGGAGCAGTGTCTTTACTTGCTTTCAGGAGCTATTTTGGCATCATGTCTGCTTATTAAAGAACAAACTGAGTTAATGGGGATCAGGCCCTTATTAAAATTCAGTGGGTCATTTTAGATTTGAAATCTAGGAGTTGGGTAGAGGGGCCATTTCCTATACCTTTTAATACAAATGTCTCCAGTAAGGCTGTTTTTCTTACCTCTGGCACAAATCAGTAGCACCCAAAGTAGTGCAGAGCTCCCCCCTTTTCAATTAAAAGTTTGATGATGAGGGTGCTTGGTGGTCTGTGAGAAATGTTGAGATGTCGCAGCGCTTTGTAGGTCCCCAGAGTTTGGGAATCACAGGCCTAAATGATTTTTTCTTGCTTGCTTAGTATCACATGGACATGTCTCTTGCACAAGATACAGTGGTTGTGGGGAAGCAATTCTGTCACTGGAAAGGGATTGAATTGACAGCCTCAGAGGTTGGGTGAAACAGGTTGACCTGTTGACATGATGTTACACAAGAAAGGGGCATCATTCAGCACTACTACCTCAAGGCAAAGGGAAAGACAAACAATGGGGAGGTAGGGTGCTTTGAACTAGGGAAATGGAAATTGGAACTCTGCACCTGATTCCTCTTGAACGTAAGCATTTGCCTTAGCTTCTGATCTTGTGACATGTCTGATGTGAGCATATTTGTGTGCTTGTACTGAGCCCTTCTGAGGTTACTGGGACTTTTGGCAGCACAATTGTCTGCCAGCACATGGCACTGCAGAATCAGTGCCTCAAGCTTCTATAAAATAAGTATAATTTCAGTATGTACTTTGAAATGTTTCTGAGAATCTTGGATGAAGGTACTATATATATGTTAGGTGTGAAAGGTAACATACCTGGAAGCATTTAGGAATATAATATATCTGTACCTTTTTGAAGCATTCTTTTTTTAAATATTGATCTCCTTACAAGAGAAAGTGAGGAGGAGGAGCTGCTCTAAGTTTTTAAAATTTGGGATAAAATACAGCACTGAGAAATAATTTATATTTCTGAGTATATTCTGGATAATATAAAAACTTGAATGATTATACAGCATCTAGGTGATTTATAGTGAATAGTATTCTATTGTAGAAAGAGAGACTACATTTAAGTGGTTTGCATTTCTAGTGCAATAAACTCTACAGATTGAAGAAGGCTTTTTTAATGTGGTGCCATTTCCTTTACTTGTTAACCATTCCAGCAGCTGCCTCCTATTATTGATCTCCTATTTAAACAAATAATGATTCCTTTGCAGCATGCAGCAGAACTAGAGCAGAAGCAGAATGAAAGTGAGAACAGAAAGTTGTTGGGTGAAATCGTCAAATACAGCAATGTTATACAGGTAAATCACTGAAATACATCTGCCTTCTCTCAGAGGTGGAAAGAAAACAGTTGTTTCATGTCAGAGAGGACTGGAGACGTGAAACTAACCATTGCAGTTCTGGTTGTCATAGAGCAGGTAAACAAAACTTGATAGAAGTTATAATATTTTATTTGTATTTCTTTTTTTAAAGACTACCAGAACTAGTGCATATTTGTTGTCTAATTTATTTCCAATAATGTGCATTTCAGCATGTGGCTTTTGTTGCTTCCATCTGGAATAGGGATGTAAATATACATATTTTATTTCCACTATATATTTCAGTATAATTGTTGAAAAGCTACTGTGCAACTTAAATTAAATCACTGGCATCATTTTTTCTTTGACATAAATGTGAGAGATTATGTTCTCAAGCAGTATAAGACTTTTCCTTAACAGGTAGGGTTGAATAATCTCATTAACAGGTGTCCTTTATGCATAGAATATACCATATAATCTCATCACTAATGTTTTTTTCTGTTCCTTTTTGGGTCTTAAATACAGTAACAGTTTTTTTCAATACACTTTGATAGTGACTTCTGGATTGATTTTTGTCTTTATTTTTCTTTATGAAAGGGATGAACAGCAGCTATAATGCTTTTAAACAATCCCCTTTCCTGACTAGGAGAAGGAAGATAAGAGGAATCCTAATTATTTGTTTTATCCACAGTTACTGCACATAAAAAGCAACAAATACCTCACGGTCAATAAGAGATTACCAGCTCTGTTGGAGAAGAATGCTATGCGGGTCTCACTGGATACTGCAGGGAATGAGGGGTCCTGGTTTTACATCCAGCCATTTTGGAAACTGAGGAGTGAAGGGGACAATGTAGGTGAAAATATTGAGCATAAGATAAGTTGTTTGGGAGAAAACAGAATTGCAAGAAAAATTTTACTTTCTTAAGTACTGGCATCAATCAGGTCCCTCAAAGAAATGGGACATTTATTTTTCAATAATGTCTTTGCTTAATATACATTGTATAAATATAGAATGTCACATCAAATTACATAGTGAAAATAGTGGTTTGATTCTGCTCTCTGGAATATTGCATAACAGGAAAGAATTTCTGTTGGTGTAAACAGTGTAACTGACTTCTGCAATGCTGTGCTGATTTATACCACCTGGGAATTTGTCTATCGTGTATGGGAGTGGTGGGGTTGTGAGAAAAGAGCCATTAGATTCTGAAATGAACTTACAAACTGCAAAAACATTCAGTGTAAAAGGCAACAGGGCATATTTCTAGCAAGTATGCTGCATTTCTTCAATATGTTCAGCTGCTTGTGTCCTCTTAAAGTGGAGATATATATATGAGAGGTGTAGGGAGAAAGCCAGTCACTTCTTCAGCGTTTTCTGCATGAAGTGAACAAAACTCAGGCCTTTCTATGTAGGGCTTATTTTAGAGGACTGGAGTGGGTCTCCAAGTTGGTGTTTTTTCCACTCTCCCCTGCCTTGTGGAAAAAAAATGGCCTTTGCAACCCTCATGCAGGGAACCATAAGCTGCAGCTAGCTCCTGAGCTCAGGAACAAATACACCCCTAACCAAAGGATTTCAGCCCCCTGTTTTTCAGGGCTTCTGATTGTACTTCAGAATAATACAAGTCCACCCAATGAGTCCTATTCCATCCCCAATGACCCAGGGTTTTGTGTAGCCACCTGTCTTCTCCATTCAGGGTGAAACTCCAAAAACTATTTAGCTGGGAGTTGAGATAAACCTTTCTGTGTCTTTCTCTTTCCTAGCTTGTTGCAAGCTATCCATCAGAGCTGCATAGGAAGTCAGGCCTTTTGCCCTGATCAGGAACTCCTGCATGAGCATACCCACTGCTTACACCTCTCCCTCACACAGGCTCTAAGTCTCCTGTTTCCAAACACTCTTGCACTGAGCTGGAAACACTCCCTTATGTGCCCTGCCAGGCAGACGCATCGTACAGTTTTCTGACTCCTCCTCAGATGAGTCTTATCACCTTCTCTATTACCTTCCCTATGAGTGTCAAACCAGACTGACAAGTCCCTAACCTTTCCCTCCAGGCTGCCCTTTTAGGAATAGGCAGCCTTGCTACTGGGAGGATGTAGGAACACTGCAGGAACTCTCCACTTGTCCCAGCAGCAACATCCCTTCCTATCTGGCATGCAGTAAGGGTGTGTGAAATAGGCCCTATTTGATTTGGATTCAGCCCGAATTGGGGACGGTGATTAAATTCATTGATTCGGATCACTGTCCCTGATTCAATTCGGATGAATCTGAATCTGAAGATTCGATGCTGATTTGGAGAATCAGCGATCTGGCCGTAGACAAGGTTTAAATGTTTTTTCTACATACCTTGAGGTACCAGGTGCAGCTTGTGAATGCTGTGATGCTGGGGCGGATGGAGCGTTCCACAGTAGTGTGGGGGGGGGGCCCTGCGTGCTTGGCGGTGAACCTGGAAGTCCTTCCGGTCCGCTTCCAGGTCCGCCGCTGAGTGTGCGGGGGGGCCTTTCTTGGCTTGGCGATTGGCCTTGGGGGGACCCCATGTGCCCCCCCTGGACCCAGGAGGCACCAGACCCCTGCGCACTCCCCAGCGGACCCAGAAGTGGACTGGAAGTGCTTCTGGTCCACTTCTGGGTCTGCTGGGGAGCCCCCCATGCTCCTATGGGACACTGCATCCGCCCCAACATCTCAGCATTCACGAGCTGCCTGGTCCCTTGAGGTATGTAGAAAAACCATTTACAGCTGTGTCTATATCCGAATAGTTGAATCTTTCTGAATCTCTCTGAATTGATTTGGAGGGTTCTGATTTGATTTGGAGAAATTAAACAGTTCCTTGATTCGATTTGGATTCGGAGTTTTGACCACCAAATTGGGCCAAATCTCCACCAAATCAGCGACCAAAGCTTTGCACAGCCCTAGCTTTGCACAGCCCTAGATCTTTCCTTCACCCATTCCTTCCTGTATTGGGTAGTGAATGCTTACCACTTGCTTGCTCCTTTAGCAGCCAATTTATGGAGTGCTTTTCTTTCAAACCACTTGGCACTGCATAAATAAGGCCTGTTTGAAAGGTAACCCAGTGGACGAGTTAAAGACAGACTTTCGGCTAAACTGCTTCCATTCCCCTTCATCTTAGATTGAATGTTGTGTCAGACTTTATTTGGACAAAATATGTTTTTATAATTTAATTTTCTGTGTTTAAAAAAGAAAAATACCTTTAATAACATACACTTTAGAAAGTCTTTATAGCTAGTCCTTAAAACTTCAGGGTATTATCTGGATGATTCTCACCTTACATCAGATAGTCTAAGACAAATTGTGCAAATACAGATTAATGATGGGCCATCATGTCTCAACAAAGGAAATTATGGTTCATTGTGGGACTAGTATACCTAGGATTTCCCCTGGGAGCTGCTGGAGTGTATGAGATTTGTATCATAGCTCACCATGGCTGCTTAAAATTGTGAGATTTACTTTTCTTTTTATTCTAAAAGAAGGAACTCTCTTTATACGTGATAAAAATTACATCTCTGGAGCATTTTTATAGATGGCTGGTTGAATCATTCAGACAGTCTATGGCTTGGGTTCATTATAACATCCAATTAGTTACGCAAGTCAAAAAATAATGAAAGGGCATTACTGCGACTTTACAGTAACTGATAGCAATTCTGGGCCAATTTCTGACATCCTTAGTCGAGCAAAACCATATCTTGCATCAATAGGATTGTTTATTGATTGAGGCTAGAACCTATCTCCGTAGAAGTGACTAGCTAAACTCCCCGTGACTTCATCTCAACTAGGATTAACTCAGTATTGACTGTGGATTTTTGGTCCTCTGCCACTTCTGATTTGCTTAGCATTAGATTTGGTGATATGCCAAGAGCGGTGAAGATGCTCAGGTACCCAGCAACCTGCAGGATGGTTGAACCTAACATGGACAGCACAGGCCTAAACTTGGGCTGTACAGGCCTGTTTGGGACTTTGGGATAGCAAGCCAGTGCTGAAGTCTCTGTTGCTGCACTTTTACTGGTAATTTTACACATGCAAGTGAGATTAAGGCTCTCGGTTATGCCTGTGATTGGTGTAGTCACACTTCTTGGTCACAGTATATCTGCAGAGATATCTACGTGTCATTACTCCAGGTTTGTATTGGACCTTGAGGTTGCTCTGAATTATGCCACCAGTACTAGCCCTCCTAGATGCTACTTCACTAGCCCGTGGTTTCAAGGGTGTAACAGGTTCTGGTCCTGCCTTCTATGGCTAGCATGTCCTCTACACCAGAGGGTGGGCAGGAAGGAATTGTTATTTCCCTATGCATGAGAAACCCCATCTGGCTTTTAGGGATATTACAGCTCTCTTTTTCATTTTGTTTTTCTTATTAGAATAAATTGCAGCTGGCCCAAGGTAGCTATCCAGAAGAATAAATTGTCCCTTTGTTGCTGTCTGTGGTTTTATTTCTTCAGAGTCTGGGGGGTGGGTGGAGAAGCAGGCTCTATGGAATCACTTCTGTAGAGGTGGGAAGCAAAATGACAGCAGCATGGACTGTTACCCAGTCTGTCAGTATGTCAGCCAGTATAGCTGAGCCACCACAGATGAGAAGCTGCTGGTGTGGACTTGAAGAATGCAGGTGAGAGACTGAGGCTGGCATTGTGAGATCGAGTCACAATTTCTTTCCCATTGTGTGTTGAGGGCATCAGAGTTGTGTCTCTCTCCTCAATCCTGTCCCTCTTCAGTCCCCTCAATGACCTTTGTTTAAATGGGATGCTTAGACGTATGTATTTCTCAGTCCTGTTACTGTTATAATACAGCTGTATTTTCAGTAGAGTTTGAAGTCCTGACTCAACTCTGCAGGATGCAAGCCTGGTGATTTATTTTGATAAATGAATTGTCTGGTCTTAACTTCATATATTACTGTAAGTAAAGTCTATCTGAAGCATGGCTTGCAGGAATG